TCCTTCGTTTGTTGTGGCGCGGTCTCGTCTCTGATAACTGTAACATTGAACTTCTTTGGCTTCTTGTTTCCAGACTTAGTCCAATAATTAATTGCATCCAAGGATTTAGACAAATGAGAGCTCCATCCCTTAATAATATCTCTCAAATCAGACAATGATATGTAATTTATCATGCTGTCATATACTATTGTCTTTAGGGATGGGAGCTGAAGCTCGACGAGAAGCCAATGAGTACGGTCCAAAACAGAGATAAACACCTGCATCGAAATGTAATAATTCAAATTGCACACTTATTTATGAAAACCTTTAAAATATTGAAACAAATATACTAACCTTATCGACATCCCACCATACAGGATAAAGTTTAGTTTGTCCATTAGCCAACACATATGATTCATGTCGTTGATTCTTCAAGTGAATTACGTGAAAAGACGCCGGCATAATTGTATATCGCGTTTTTTTATATTTTTCTTTAATTTCTTTATAATTAGAAGACGTGTCACCTATGCATCAATATGCTGTTTTACAAAAAAAGACATATATTAGTGAATTACATAAATTAAAAAAAAAAATTAATCAAACTGAAATACAAGAAGAAATATAAGACTTACCCTCCATCGAAATAGCCGTTGTCTTCAACCCTTAATAATACACCCCACCAAGACCGTTCAATCAACAAATGCATATCATCGTTGAGTTTGTATATGTCAGCGTAACACCTTGGCTCCGTTCATGTAGATAAAAATCAACTGCGGTCTTAGCCTAAAGGGTATTATCCAGAATTGTTTCCGGTAGTTGTTTCCTCTCCACTTCATCTGCCAGAATGGTACTGGCCGGTAACTTATACGAAAGCCAACAGTCATCCATCATGTCCGGCACGTGAGGGGGCTTCTCAATAATTCGATATATTACGTCGTGTGAATCAGGCTCTAGAATGTTGGGAGGGACCTCTTCAACGATGACAGGGCCTCTTGAACGGTGGGAGAGGACTCTTGAGGGATGATAGGGGCCTCTTGAACGATAGGGGAGGCCTCTTGAACGATGACAGGTGAGTCGGGCTTTTTCTTATGGATTCTTCGCACTATTGAGGTGAACGGAGACGTAATGGCACGTGCACGCCGTCTGATATGTGAACTCCGTATTGAAAGAAAAACCCGACGTAGAGCATCCACCTTAGCGGACCGCTAAAAATAAATTAATACATAAATCAGTAAATAAACATACATGATATTAAACAGTGAAAACAAAGACAAATATATTTCAAACTTGCACGGTATTCACCCAAGACATTATTATATCATTGTTCACAAAATGCATCAGATAACATTCCAGAAGTAAGCACTTATATAAACATTTAAAAGGACAACATATAGGTTTAGTGCAGGTTCAATGACAACATAAAGAGTAGTAGTTTATTCTTGAAACTTAAATTTTCAACACTGTGTAGTTAGTATTTATCTTTTGGTTGAAGTAATGCAATTCATTCAAGTTTCAATTTGCAGAAGAAAAATAAAATCTGAAACTTAAAATTGCAACGCTAAAATGACTATCGCAACATGAAAATGACTATCGCAATGCGAAAATGACTATCGCAATGCGAATTTGACTATCGCAATGCGAATTCAACTATCGCAACGAGAGAATCACAATGCGATTTTCATTTCGTATTGCGATAATCAAATTCGCATTGCGATAGTCATTTTCGCATTGCGATAGTCATTTTCGCGTTGCGATTTTCATTTCGCATTACGATTATCTCGTTGCGATAGTCATATTTGCGTTGCGATAGTCATTTTCGCATTGCGATAATAAACTATTCTTCTTCTACAAATTGAAACTTGAATAGATTGCATTACTTCAATCAAAAACAAATACTAACTTCACAGGGTTAAAGAATAAACAGTTAAACAGTATTGGCAGCAACCGAATGAATTTACTAAGCAATCTAAGTGAAATTACGAGTAAATTTATCATCAAGTTAAATATGAAAAATATTAAACTTACCTCGTTGCGTAGAGTATGAACCTTGTTCTGCAACGATGCTACAATCTCATGTAGAGCTGCTACATCATCACGTAAAGTAGACATCTCAACACGCCATGCACCATTGTCATCGCGTAAAGTATCGACCTCCTCACGCAAGGCATTGACCTCATTACGTAACTCCCCTAACTCATCCCGTGGAGGTGGAGGTGGAGAACAAAGAGATAAACGTCGTGGCATCTTTGTCGGTCGCCTATCATGAGGTGATGATGGAGAATAGGCTCGATGATGTGACATAATAGGTGATGACTCTCGTTGTGGAGGTGTATATTCGGGTCGATCAGGTGATGGCTCTGGGTGAGGTGATTGCTCTCGAAGTGGTGGCTGCTCATCATCCGTGCCATAAAAAAAAAGCTTACTAGCTTGCCACCAATTAGTGGCAAACTCAGCTTCCGTGGGTGTCAGTCTCTGTAATGGAGTGTTGGCCTCCTAACAATATAAAAGCTCAAACAAAGTTAAACGTGTACTAGTAATAACTTGTTTATAAACATATGGTAGTATTTGTGTTAACTTACAGTATTTATTGTAGTATACGGTAATAAATCTTCCCATTGCTGCAAGGACCGTTTCCTCTTCCAGGAAATAGCCCTAGGAATATCATTAGAAGTTTTTAATGCATATGTCTGCATGGCGGGAAAGGTCTCAAATATCCAAATCTACAAACAATATAATAACAAACATTAGTAATTGTTAAAGAATTAATTATAATTTTGGAAACATTATATAAAAATTATTACCTTAAAGGCCCGAATAAAGCCTGACAAAGTGTATTTGGAACCATCGTCACGCAAACTTTTCCGATCATTAAAGGCAGACGACAACTTATTCCATGTAGCTCTCTATAGATACGAATCCCACGGAAACAGGTTTCATGCATTTAGGTCATCTACCAATTTAATTAGATCGTTAAGAATAGGTTGTCGGACCTCTCTACCTAAAAAGCCGGCTTGCAAAAGTATTAGAAGGCATACTCAGACAACATCGACGTCATTCATCCGAGTAAAACCATCTTTTTTATTCAATAATCTCGTCAAGTCTTCCACGTGTAAATTTGACTTCTCCGTTGACAACTCAGGAAAAACCCGGGAAAACCATGATAAGCGGGTAATATGTCTAGTGTACCGATCTACTTCATCGTGTCCAAAGCGTAGACCGGTGATTAAGCAAAACTCCTCCCGCCCAAAACACGTATACGCCGGTGGAAAATCAAACAATATCTCTTCATCACGACGTTGTATAGTCTCTGGTAGATCGCTAGTCATGGTTTGAAGAAACAGATGGGTCAACATAGCATCTCCACCCGGATGTTGTACTTTCAGCCATGGCCCGAAGCAAGTATCCTCAAATATTTTTTTTGTACAGGTGAAAGCTTCGACGCAATTGTTTTGGCCAGACTTACTTTATTTCTTAAGGTCAATTGAGCCGAATAAAAGTTCTGCAAAAACAATAAGCATACCAATTTAGATATACCAAAAACTACACTGTGAAGATATGAACAATAAACATAAAGAGTAGTAGTTTATTCTTCAAACTTAAATTTGCAACACTGTGAATTTAGTATTTATTTTTTTGTTGAAGTAATACAATTCATTCAAGTTTCAATTTGCAGAAGAAGAATAGTTTCTGAAACTTTAAATCGCAACACGAAAATGAAAATCGCAACACGAAAATGACTATCGCAACACGAAATGAAAATCGCAACGACAGAATCGCATTGCGATAGTCATTCTCGGTTTCAAATATTAAAATTGAAAGAAACTTGAATGAATTGCATTACTTCAACCAAAAGACAATAAAGATAAATACTAACTTCACAGGGTTAAAGACTAAACAATTTAGCAGTATTGGCAGCAATCGAATGAATATAATAAGCAATCTAAGTGAAATGGTTAATCTATTATTGAAAACACCAGTAAATTTATCATCAATTTCAATATGAAAAACCTAATAGTAATGCAAAAATTTCAAAATAAAAATAATTAAAAAAACTAACCCTCTGTGGTTGATATGGTTGATTTTCCATTTCTGACCGTGAATGATTTCGCCGGAGATGGAGACTGATATCGTTGGAGATTGGGACTGATTTCGTCGGAGATGGGGACGAATGTCTCCTTAAAGAGTGAGAGATGGAGATGAGAATGAGTTGTGATTTAGGGTTTTAGGTTATGAGTTACAATTACGGGATATACTGTGGACGGTTCAGTGTTTCGATATATTAATATATTCGTGTTTGGAATTTGAAAAAAAAATACGCGTTGGATACGAATGGCGTTATGTAAATCGCATTGCGATAGTCAGATTCGCATTGCGATTTACGTATTCGCATTGCGATTTTCCAAATTCGCGTTGCGATTTACGTATTCGCATTGCGATTTACGTATTCGCATTGCGAATTAGGAAAATCGCAATGCGAATTTGGAAAATCGCAATGCGATAGTCAGAATCGCGTTGCGAATCTGAAAACTGATTTGCGATACCGGAGATCGCGTTGCGAATTATCGATCACATTACGATTTAGTTGGTCATTTTGGCAAATCCAAAAAAAGTTGGTTAAAATCGTATATTATAAGACATTTTAGGTCACTGAGGTTATTTTCTCTATTAAAAATAAGTATTCAAATAAAAAAACATAAAAAATTATTAAATATTTAATAAGTAGAGTCAAACTAAAACATGATAATTCAATCTTCTCAAGTTTTTTATCTAATAACAATTTAGGTAATTATAAGTTTAAATATTAAACAAAATAAACATTGTATTTTGAATTTAAATATTTAATAAGTAATTGTGTGTGTTTTTTTTTAAATATAATATTTTAACCCCTGTCCCCTTCCTTGCCAATTTTATTCGTGACTCCGTCCTGCCTCGTACTATTAAAAGTAACGGAAAAATATAAATTAAGAGTAAAAAAAATTAAAAATTACACCTTTAAATAAATATATATTTTTTAAATTATAGTCGTTTTAAGACTAGGGGCAATATAGTAGGGAGAAATCCAAAATAGAGAAAAAATTAGGGATTGTACAAACTTTGAAGACCTCACCTCCTAATCCGAGTAATCATGGCTAACAGAGAAGGTTATAAGAAGGCATGTCTTCAATCCGCAACACATCCTCCATCAGGAGCTCTCTTTCCAACTGACACCTTGTTGATTTCAATACTTCCTGTACACATCATCCATTACTAATTATATTATTACTATTAGACCGGCATCATTACTATTATCATTCTTACATTGAACTCCATGTACGTCGCATTTCTCTCCAGCCATTGCTTGTCCATTACCACGAATGCCACGCAGTACAGCAAGTCAAACGCCCATTCATTCTCTGCACAAAAAACTACTTGCATTACTTGTTCCCTCACAAGTCACATCATCAGGTGCAGTGCAGGCACCTTCTTCCTTACCCGATAATATCTGTAAGAAAACTGATCTGATAAATGTCCCTGGTTTCGCTGCATAAATTGAGCATTAAGTTTGAATCAAACTAAAACTTCAATTATTTGATAGCAAGAGTTGAAATTAACATAGTTAGGGCATTCATTATCCACTTACTGGCATCAAGGTCCAGCATCTGCATGATCATGAATGTGATATTTACGCCTGCAACTGCAAATGGGTACTCCCATGCAGATCGTTTTCCGCCTTGCTTTTTTAATAACCCTTGAAATGAAGTCTGCAATAACAACCCACCACAATGCATCATAGTGATGGATTGATGGTGCCTAATTCACTTGCCACCCCAAGCTCCTATCCTAAACTATATGCAATTGGATCCCCAATATATGGGTATGTTAGTTTTTTCCAAGTTCAAATATACGACAGTTAGACATGGATTTTTTTTTTTTTTGAAAAAAAAGAGAGGACAGAACGACATAGGTGATTTGTGTACCATCGTAAACAAGGGTCAGTGCAAATGACTCGAAAAAAATGCTCACGAGAATGATATACTTGCCGAGAATGTCTTGGCAAAGAATAACAAGTTCTCCAAGGATATGAATCCAGCACCTCTGTTTGTCAAGGAAAATAAGTTAGAGAACATGAACTATAAGAAATAATTTTCCAAAAAATATAATAGCAGTAAATTAATGCCAACCTGAAATCAGTTGATGGATCCCTTCCCTGCCATCCCATTTCTTTCCACTGATCGGATGTCAAGCCATGCAGTTCCTTTCCAGGGTATGTAGCAGCCCATAGTGCTCTCAATGCTTCCTGTCGCCAAGAAAATTGTTGGTAGGTTGGCTTGAAAGAAAAGAATATGGAACTGATAGTTTAGATTACATTGTCTTTAGCTATAACTACTGCTTCAGTGTATCCTAATGAATATGGAAGATTTGATAGCCTTTAACGGACAACATTTAAGTATAAAGCAAATGGCCACCTTTAGATTCACATGTGAAGAATAAAATAAAAATGCAGAATCAAACCTGATGATCAGGTCTGGAACCATCAAAGTAAACTTTCATCCGGTGCCTCAACCTTTTCAATATTTCTTCCTGCAATTTGCTAACGAATCTATCACATATAAGGAAGCTACATATATTAGAAAAACTAAAAACTGGCTTAATATATAACATATATATGTAAGTCCAAATTGTTTGCTACCAACACAATGCATTCATATTTGTTGGTCAATATTAAAAGAGGAAATCATCATCATGTACTTGCCTGTTTGGGTGTCAAGCTAATGCAAGCCCCTTCATAAACTCCCTTCCGCTTGAAACAAACACAAGTAAGGCCCTTACCAAACCAAGCTGGCTTTCCACATGTACCATCTGCATACATTGTTACAACCATTGGGTCTCTTTCTTTTTCACATTTGTTACAATCACAGCTTCAAACCCAAAACTATTTTTGCTAAAAGACATATAAAAGTAAAAAACAAAACAAAAGAACTTCCATGAAAAAAGCCGAAGCAAAAACCGTTTTTGGTGCTCAGTGACCTAGCTGAAGATCTGAACCGTACCATTTTACATCAGCCGATAGTTTTCACTTGACATTAAAATTAAATAAATTGAAGCAAAAGTAACAGTTTCAGGTGGTGCACAAGCTTTCTCAGTGACCCATCCAAAAATTTAAGAAAGAAATCTAAAATTTTAATATTCTTTTATTAAAAATGATAAGTATGTAAGTTTTTATTTTATTTTTTAACGTATTACATTAAATTTAATCATTCTTCCAAATAATGGGAATACAGATTAGTGCATCCGCCAATGCTTTCTATTTCCACAGCTAATGTTGCTGCATCCAGGAAAGAAATTAGTCCATGAATTCTGGACTTCATCAAATCATTGAGTTACTGGCCCAAAAAAATTCAAATCATTAGACTGTATATAGCAGTTCTTGGTCCTTTTCAGTGCCGCTCGCAAGTCTAGCATGCAAGTGGTGGGGACCACTACCCTATGAGAAAATAGATACAAAGTGTTCGGAGTCTGCAAACACGCTCTAAAATAACGCGTGAGGAAACCGTCGGCAAAAAGTCAATATTGTGACTTCAAAGCAAATATTAGGGTGAAAAAGCAAAGTGGGTTATGAAAGATGAGACTTTTTAGTCATAGTATACTAAAAAAAACTTCACATCAAACGGTCAGCATCATACCTAAATCGGGTACATAAAAAGTGGTTCATCTTGTGACTACGCAAACTCTTTAAAATAAATTTGTTTTTACAGACACGTCAACAATGTGATTTTCGTCAAAACTAATTACATTGTATATTATTTATGTAGTCTAATGTTTTAGGTTAAGTAGTGGGCGGGCTATGATCAAGTGCGGGTGGCATTATAATATGTCCGATAAGGACGAACCTAGAGTCCTAGACTAATCACGGGCCATCGACGGAAGATGATTGGGTTGGACCGCTACAGAAACCCCAAAATGCGACAAATCCCGCATTATTACGCCATAAATTGCAGCAACCGTTCCCAGTTCTATGACGACAAATGGAGATTAATCATGATTTTTTTCTTCTTTTTCTTTTACTCAAAGTCAAAATGAGCTTAACATTTCCAGATTCTGATCGGAGGAAGCGAATCATCCACCATTAAAACAACATATTCATTAGTAGTGTAGGACATACTCATCTCTCTCCCAACCACCACCCCCCCCCACAAAAAAAAACACTAAGAAAAAAATTCTTAATTATAATTTTTTTCCTCTACAATTTTTCTATCGCAAAATAAAATTTTGGCGAAATTCAATTTTTCTTCAATTTTACAAAACCATAAACCTGACAGGATAAGAAGAAAAAACGAAACGAGAACTCCGTAATCAACACCATTGCTGTGTTGGGAGCATCAAAGAACTAAGAATCTCTGCAAATACATACATATATATACACATAATACAAATTTCATTTACAAATTGAGCATGGAATTACAGAGGCCGAGAGAGAGAGAGAGAGAGAGAAATACCTGAAGAAACAGAGCCGTGAGAGCAACGGTTAAAGGAAGAGGAAGGGGAGAAAGCGCGGATTGCAACACAGCTTCCTTGATTCCTAACTATACTACTCATTTTCTTTCTAATCTCAGCAAAACGCCTTTCAGCAGCTTCTGGATCTTTATAATTATAAATATATTGAGGGCATACACTATATAGAAAGAGGAAGGTACCTCTCTCTGTTTCTGTTTGGGAACTGTGTTCTTATGCGAGTGAGTCAAGGAAAGTGGGCTAAAATATTAAAAAGTCAAAACTACCCTGATTATTTCTTTTGTTTTGTTTAGTTGTTAGGAAAAAGAGATTAAATAAATTAATCATGTCAATTAATAGATAATTAAATAAATATTTGACTAAAATATTGTTTTGATTAAATATTATTTGAAATTTTATAATTAAATAAAATTTCAATAATAATAATTTAATTGAAATATTTTTAAACTTTAAAAATTTATGATTTTTTTCAATTAAACCCTTAACATAATTTAATCAAATAACAAACTTCCCTAAACCCTAAGTTTAAGCCGAACTCAATAGATGCATTTCTAGGTGATTTTAATCATCAATCAAGTTTAAAAATTATTCTACAACACCAATAACCTCAAAATCCATGATCAATTTACAAAACCTTAACATGGACATAAACATTAAAATTTGAGATCTTAGCATTCAAGCAATATTAGCATGCAATAATGATACCAAATGATAGAACTCATCGAATAGAATTTTTTTTATTTCACGCTTTAATCCAAAAACCAAAGAAAATTCTTTGAAAATGAAAAACAAGCTTTCATGAAATTTCTTCTTAATTTCATGTTAATTTGCTATTTATTTAAATTTAAATTAACGAGAAATGACAATTTTACCATTAATAAAACTTGATAATTACATTTATACCAAGTCACATGTCTCTTATCATATTCTCAAACTCAAAGATGAACAAAATATTGTATCTTTTACAATTTTATCCATACAACTTTCCAAAAATTTCAATGTTGTCATTTTCATCTAACGATCCAAATTGAACATAAAAATAAATTCTTAAATCCAATGATCCATATTATTTTCCATCATTTTAAAATGTGGAAATACTATTATTAAGCTTAATTTATTATCTTTTAAAATTTCTCAAAATTTTTATTCGTTTCGATTTACCGAATTTTTACTAGACTTTAACCCTTTCTAACTTTTAACACAAATTATAGATAAAAAATATGATTTCCACCAAACCGTCATTATTGGGGTAAACTATTCATTATGGGATAAAAATTCTTTTTGAGAAAATTACCATTTTGATTCTTAAACTTTTTCTAATTTTATATTTTAGCCACTAAACTTTCAAAATTTATATTTTAATCACTAACAAAAATTTCATGGTGTAACAAGTTTTTTTCAATGATTATAAAAATTATTCTAATTTTATGCTTGATTTACTATTATGATTAGAAATTTTTGTTATAATTAAAAATAGTGACTTTTTTTTAAAAAATCTAACCGTTAACTTTTATTGAATGAAGAAAATGTAATGAATATATAACACGTGTTATGTATTTTTTATTTTAAAATGTATAAATTTTAAAAATAAAATCGATAGATGAATTTTTCCCTATCAAGGTTTTTCTTTTACTACCTTCTTTCGTGCAATTGAGGACGGTTTTGCACGACAAAATTTATCCTCTCCTTTCTCTTTCCAAAGAATATGATTTTAAGTTTATATTTAAAGAGAAAATCGCCTCAGTGACCATAAATGCCTTATAATATACGATTTTAACCAACTTTTTTTGGATTTGCCAAAATGACCAACAAAATCGCAACGCGATCCCAGAATCGCAAATCAGTTTCCAAAATCGCAACGCGATTCTTGAAAATCGCAATGCGATAGTACAAATTCGCGTTGCGATTTTCCAGAATCGCAACGCGAATATGAAAATCGCAACGCGAACACATAAATCGCAACGCGTATCCGTAAACCGCAACGTGTATCCGTAAATAGCAACGCGTATCCGTAAATCGCAATGCGTATCCGTAAATCGCAACGCGTATCCGTAAATCGCAACGATAATCCGTAAATCGCAACGAGAATCTGTAAATCGCAACGATAATCCGTAAATCGCAACGAGAATCTGTAAATCACAACACTGAAATTTTGGGTATATAACTACGCAACAGCAGCAAATCATAAACTAAATCCCTAAATCGCAACTCATTCCATCTCCATCTATCACTCTCTCCGGCGACATCCGTTCCTATATCCAACGACATCCTTCCCAATCCGGCAACAGGTTTTAGTTTCGCAGCTCGTCTGTTTAGTAAATTAATTTACAACCATGAAATCATCTAATGTTGATCATGTTTGGATAGATTTGTGTTTTGGAGGGTCATGGGAGAATGTTCATGGTGTTTTACAATATATGCCTTTACCCATGAATCTTCAACTAAAATTGTCTTTACAAAAGTTAACTTATGAAACTCTAATGCTACGTGTTTCAAAGAAATTGAAAATCGCAATGCGAAATGAAAATCGCAACCAGAGAATCGCAATGCGGAAATGAAAATCGCATTGCGATTCTCTCGTTGCGATTTTCATTTCCGCATTGCGATTTTCATTTCGCATTGCGATTCTCTCGTTGCGATTTTCATTTCGCATTGCGATTTTCATTTTCGCATTGCGATAGTCATTTTTGCCTTCAACATAATGCAGATTGAAATCAACAAAATCAACCATTACATTTCAATCAATTAAACAAGCACAAATAAGAATTATGTTCGCATCAATTACACAAATCAACTTTTACAAATCATCTTTTACAAATCAATTAAACAATCAAAAAAATAAGCAATAATTCTTATTTCCAATCATCTACTATTGAATCAACTTTTACAAATTAATTAAACAATCAAAAAACAATCAATTAAACTATTGAATCAACTTTTGCAGCCATAAATCATTTTCACGCAGTTCACTTCTGAGATTAACCTGCAGAAACCAAACATTTGCTCAAACAACACTTTCTACACATCTAAAACCTACAAACATCAAATTATTGAATTCTAGGTACTTAACCAAACATTTTCAAACCAAAAGTCTATAAACTTACCAATTGTTTATGGACATTTTTATAACGCGGATGCAGGTAGGCAACGTCTCGTATATATCGATTTAGCCATATAATGCCGAAACCACAAGCCTACTGCAGCTCTATCTCTATCGGGGGGAGGTAGATACTTGGTGCTTCCCGTCGTCAAACGCTCCAACGCCAAGCATACGAGAGGACCACAATCTCCTCTGGCTCCTTCCGTTTGTTGTGGCGCGGTCTCGTCTCTAATAACTGTAATATTGAGCTTCTTTGGCTTCTTGTTTCCAGAACGAGTCCAATAATTGATCGCATCCAAGAATTTAACCAAATGAGAGCTCCATCCCTTAATAATATCTCTTAAATCAGCCAATGATATGTAATTTATCATGCTGTCATACACTATTGTCTTAAGGGATGGGAGCTGAAGCTCGACGAGAATCCAATGTTTACGTTCCAAAACAGGGATAAACACCTGCAATCATAAGTAATAATTCATTCATTTGCGCACTTATTTCATAAAACCTTTAAACTCAATCTAAAATAAATACTAACCTTATCGACCTCCCACCATGCAGGATAAAGTTTAGCTTGTCCATTGCCCAAATCAAATGATTCATCTCGTTGATTCTTCAAGTGAACGGCGTTAAAAGACGTCGGCATAATTGTATATCGTATATTTTTATTTTTCTTAAGTTTTCTTATTATTATAAGACGTGTCACCCACGCATCGATATGCTGTTTTACAAAAAAAGACATATATTAGTGACTTACATAAATTTTAAAAAAAATTAATCAAATTGAAATATAAGAAAAATATAAGACTTACCCCCCCATCGAAATAGCCATTGTCTTCGACCCCTAATAATACGCCCCACCAAGACCGATCAAGCAACAAATAGATATCATCGGTGAGCTTGCATATGTCAGTGAAACAACCCTGGCTCCGCTCATGTAGATAAAAATCAACTGCGGTCTTAGCCCAAAGGGTGTTATCCAGAATTGTGTCTGGTAGTTGTCTCCTCTCCACTTCCGATACCGGAATGGTACTGGCCGGTAACTTATACGAGAGCCAACTCTCATCCATTATGTCCGGCACGTCAGAGGGTTTCTCAAGAAGCCTACATATGACGCCATGTGAATCGGGCTCTTGAATGGTGGGAGGGACCTCTTCAATGATGACAGTGGCCTCTTGAACGGTGGGAGGGGACTCTCGAGGAATGATAGGGGGGGCCTCTTCAACGATAGGAGTGGACTCTTGAGGGATGACAGGCGAGTCGGGCTTCTTCTTGCGGTGTCTTCGTACTATTGGGGTGTACGGAGACTTAATAGGACGTGCACGCTGTATGATGCGTGAACTCCGTCGTGCAAGCATAACCCGACGTAAAGCATCCACTCTATCGGGCCGCTAAATAATTAAATACAAAAATCAGTAAATAAACAGACATGATATTTAAACAGTGAAAACAAAGACAAATATGTTTCAAACTTGCATTGTATTCACCCAAGTCATTATTCTATCATAGTTCACAAAATGCATCAGATAACAAAGAAAAATATGTTTCAAACTAATACCCTGAAGTTAGTATTTGTCTTTGTTTTGTCTATTGGTTGAAGTAATGCAATCCATTCAAGTTTCAATTTGCAGAAGAAGAAATAGTTTACTCTCGCAACACGAAACTTAAAATCGCAACGCGAAATGAGAATCGCAACGAGAAACCAAAATCGCAACGCGAAACCAAAATCGCAACGCAAAATGAAAATCGCAACGACAGAATCGCAATGCGAAATGAAAATCGCAACGAGAGAATCGCAACGCGAAATGAAAATCGCAATGCGATTTTGGTTTCGCGTTGCGATTTTGGTTTCGCGTTGCGATTCTGTCATTGCGATTTTCATTTCGCGTTGCGATTCTCTCGTTGCGATTTTAAGTTTCGTGTTGCGAAAGTAAACTATTTCTTCTTCTGCAAATTGAAACTTGAATGGATTGCATTACTTCAACCAATAGACAAAACAAAGACAAATACTGACTTCAGGGTATTAGTTTAGCAGAATTGGCAGCAACCGAACAAATTTACTTTCAACCAAAAGACAAAACAAAGATAAATACTATTTCACAGT